GATCCGCTCCCTTTCTCACCAACTTCGTGCATGAACTTAGTGATTTCTGACCAGCTTGCACCCTCTTCCTTTCTTTGGCCCGTCATAGCCCAGAACAATTGCGGTGGCGAAGCCCAAAGCATTGGAGATCCCTGATGTAGGCGTCAGCGTGCCTGTGTGGTGCAGCAGTTATGTTGTGACAAGCAAACCTGTGCATCCTCTGGCATTGAAGCATGCTGACTTTGGTTGCGAATCGAATAGTATTCGTGCGCCAAGGACATCCAGGCTCTATGCAGTCCTGTCTCAGTCGCGAACCTTGATTCCACCAACTTCCATGGAAGCTTCTCGTGATCTCTAAGCCGTAGGATAATATTGCCTTGGTTAATGTGCTTGAACTCTCCTTTATCTTGTTCTGGAAGTTTCTTGAGCATCTTGTCGACATTTTGCTGCAAACTGGCATTCTCCCTATCTTTCTGGCGCAATTCTCTTCGACATTCTTCAATTTGCTGCACCTTTTCTTTCAAAGCGGCTTCGAGAACTTTAGTCCTCTCGTGTTGTGCTCTAGTCATACCCTTTTGGTCCACAGTGGTACGGGGTTCATGGGTATAAGTCTGTAGAGGGTCCTGGATCGGAAAGTCGCCCTGACTTCGTGTCGGCTCAGTACGCTTGGATTTGTGGGGAGTTGATTTGATGTTGAACTTGCCGCCAAATGCCCTGTAAGTACGAGAAATATACAGAGGGAGCCTGTCCAGTCTGGATTTTGTCGCATCGATATATGTTAGATCTCTACGACGCCCTCCCAGCAGGTAAATCTTGAAGCAATTTAAAGGTTGTTGTACCAAGTTTTGGACTATGGGTGGCAAATGAAGCTATTGCCAGCCAATCAATGAGTGTAGATGTCCTCGCAGTGAAACCTTCTCCTCAGCTTGTGATCAGTTCAAAACGTTTCACGCTTTTCCTGGAGTATTTCCTGCGTGCGGTTAACTTTTACGACTTCTTATGTCACATCTAGTCAACTTTGGTTATGCCTCGGGTGACGTGACGTACAGCAGAAGTCATTGGAGGTGCAGCCTAGCTCTTTACGCGAGGGTGTCTCAGGCTTTGATATTAACAGCCGTCAACGCCAAAAGATTGGACTGTTCGAATGGGATCAGCGAGGACAGTTGCCTGGTATCAAACGCGACCCAGCCACCTCTTAAGCATACAAAGACAAATCGTTGGCTGACACCTCAGCTAGCAATCAGGTGCCCGCAGGGCTGATCAGGCGTCATATTGCTGAATCCGGACGTAATGATCAGCCCGTTACATTTGAGAGCCACGCATTGCGCAGGCAACAACACCCTCAGAGAGGAGAGACTTGTCATAGGCTAGCCGAAGCCAGCGCAAATCAGGTCAGAGACCGGCAACCTGTGGCCACCACGTCCCTGATACCGCTCTCGAGCTTCACCGGTTGGCAGGCCGGTCAACAATGACCGTGTTGGCGGCCACGCCTGAGGGCCAATTGATGTGCCCGACGACCTGGATATCGCCCAAAAGTAGTCCTAGCACTGGGCGGCATAGGCTCTGAAACAGTGTCTATAGCCGTGGCTACCACTACTACCTTGCCCTCCTACTAGGAGTTACCTCGCCGTAGTGCGGTTCAGCCCAATACAGCCGGGCACAGCCTAGTCCAGTTTACTTCAAATCGCGCCATTCCGACGAATATTAAATGTTATTTGGTCCGCAGGCGCATCCACTGGCCTGCAGACGTGGCCGCCAGTATTAACTGTCGACCAGGTACCACATGACTTTCGTATCTATACACGGAGGTAGACTTCCGTGGATACAGGTGGCCGTAAAGGAGGCTCCCCAGGTCCGATACACAGCCCACTTCGAAGCCACATGGGGGCTAGTGGTTGCCTCATGGTTCGCGAGCACTCCGAAGTGAGTCACTTGTGATACTTAATGGCTAAGTCCGCACGGCCCTGACTTTGCTGTTACTCACCCATTTGACAGTATAGGTGGCTTCCATCGATCAACAAAAACACACAAGAAGAGGCATCTTCGCCTGCCTCACGTTGAAGATTGACAAACAATTTCAAGCCTTCGTCCTGACCACGATGAAATCAGAGGGAGTGGCCGCATGGCGATGCCCGCAATACCGGTACATACTTTCCGGGCCCCTCCTCTGCAAGTTTTGCTCGTGTCGTATCTGACTTTTGTTATAGTGGCAACAAAGATGAAAGGCACCCACAGCCGCCACAAAATGATTATGTGACTTTCGAAACTGCCAATGTGGATGCAAGTGCATTTCAGCCACCATATGTGAAGCAAGAACGCAGCAACGAATCTCAGCGGGTGAGCTTGGGACATGAACAGCCACCATATGTCAAGCAAGAACCCGGCAACGAATCTCAGCGGGTGGGCTTGGGACATGAACAGCCACCATATGTGAAGCAAGAACCCGGCAACGAATCTCAGCGGGTGGGCTTGGGACATGAACAGCCACCTGGTCATCAGCCATCGAATGTTGTACGTCCCTCTCTATGGCTGTCCGAAGGTCTATCTGTGGAGGATCCCAAGATGTTTCTGCAGCCCGGGACCAGGCCAATCTCGCAAGAACAACTAGTCAATGAGGTCAAAGGCATATATGCCGGCCTCGTCATGGTCGAGAAGAAATGCGTCGAAATATGCCAACAACAGTCTCAAACGACAACTAAGCTTTCCAACGAACAGTGGCAGGCACTGATAGCACTGCACCGGACACTCTTACATGCGCATCACGATTTCTTCTTGGCTTGTCAACATCCCACGGCGTCTCCTGCACTCCGGAGTCTCCTAACAAAGTATACTATGCCTGCTCGATTGTGGAGACATGGTATTCATTCTTTCCTTGAGTTGCTACGTCATCGTTTACCTCACTCGCATGAACATATACTCAGCTTTGTGTACCTTGCGTATCAAATAATAGGCCTGCTGATGGAGTCAGTACCGACTTTTCATGAGACATGGATCGAATGCTTAGGAGATCTCGCTCGCTATCGAATGGCAATCGAAGAAGCCGATATACGAGACCGTGAGAACTGGTCCAACGTCGCCCGCATGTGGTATAATCGTGCTGCGGACCGCTCGCCGACCACAGGGAGAATACAGCATCATTTAGCGGTTCTAGCGCGGCCCAACATCGTCCGTCAATTGTTTTACTATACCAAGGCTCTCATCAGTGGCGTCCCTTTCGTGAATGCTCGGGACTCCATCATGCTTTTGTTTACTCCATTCCTGAAAAAGTTCGAGGTAACCAGTCAAAAATACCCAAAGATGGAAACCTCCTTGGTCACGGCAGCAGGCCTTCTCTTTACGCGTGGCTCCATCCATGACTACTGCGGACACATTACCCACTTTGTATCCGAACTCGATGGCACCATTAACAGGACGGGGTCCAACTTCAAAGTCCAAGGAGCAGAGGTGGCATCATCTCTCATTGCCATGGTCCTGGATTTTGGATGCGAGGAAAACTTTCTGTGGAAAGCCTTATGCGCAAGTTCCGAACGGATGAAGCAACGTCCCACCGAAGGACAACCGGACTTACCCACGGACACCCCAGAGGTTGAGGATCCCATGGTCAAAGTCAGGATTCAGCAGAAGTTCTGGGAAGACAATGGCCCTACCAATCCACAGGATTTCACTCAGGCTGCTCCACCAACCGGCGATCGACTCGGGGTCAAGTTTGGCTCTTCTGATGAGG